TCAGACTTCCCCGAAATCGTGACACTCGAAAGTGACAAAATGTCCTCGAAAAGTCTTTAAAAAATAAATAAAATCAAAACAAAAAGAATTTATCTAAAAAAAAAAAAAAATCCTATTAGAATCGGAGTGCATAATAGCAATAACGGAAAACGAAGAAGAGCTTCCGAGATACGTATCCTTGCCCTAGTTTTCTTTTTTTTCTTTTTTTTTTCCTCCCAGAGTTTCAATAGGAGAAGCAAAGCGACGAGTGAGTGACCAAGATTGTCCCTCAAAGGAAAAAACGTTCTCTCTCTCACCCCCCTCACCCGGACTTCCTTGAACAGCCGAGCAGGGACAGCGATCATTCACGACGTGAGGCTTGCCACCACAATTCACACTTCAAGCTGTCCGTCAACAAATCGGATGCCAACTCGAGACTGCATCCGTCCTCCCACGTATAACAGATGAGACCTTTTTTATATATATATAGATTTAATGTTTATTTCCAGGCGGACAGTGCGGTGGAAGCTACATGGTGCTCCTCGGGCAAGTCGTATGGCTCTCAATCTCGTCACGTGATCAGGCTTCCCCAGGCAGAGTGAGCTGGGTCAGGTGATGAAAGGGAGGCGTTTGATTGGTCCGGCGAAACGTGCAACTCTCACTCCACTATCAGCTTGCGAGTGGACAGAGTATAAAAAGGGAGCCAAAACGACAACAACAACAACAAAATAAACGACATATTTGCGTTAGCCAGTGGCAGTGGCAACAGTGCCAGAATGTGATACCGTAACCCTTCTCGATGAGCTGGTTTGGGGCTCCGATGCCTCTCCAAGGACGTATGTGAGCTCTCTGTTCCTTCACTTTCGCTCCCTCTAGTCGTCGACCACAAGCTAGCGCAGGCCCTCGATCCCGGTCCCCTTTTCAATAAGTATTTATATGCACATCCAGAACGTATTTCTCCAAGATATTCGATATTATCCGGAACGTATCCGGTGCTCATCCTGAACACGTTCGGAACATGTTTGGAGACATGGGTCTGACGTTCGGGGCGGTTTTAATTACTTGCTTATATCACTTCGAAAGTGGTCCTCGTCTGTGCGTCTGAATGTCGCATCTTTTCTCTGCCCTTCTTTTTTGTTCAGTAGGGGATGAGTTCAGTGCATACAGCTCAAATCATGAGTAGTTTGGCTTCGCTTTTAATACAAAATCCTGATAATACATTTAGCATTATTAGCGTTCTGATAACAAGATTAACGTTATGATCAAGCTAAAAAGACTCGGCTTTTCGCAGCTCCATGGTTATCAGCAGTTTTCCGGAACCGATAAAAGCAGTGAAGTTATTTGCATGATTTTTAACAAATTCAGTCGCGAAAATTAATATAAAGATTGAATTACTGAATTAACACATTTCAGGCCTGCGGTTTATATGTGGATAATGAGATCTTGTTCTTGACCCTCGTTTTCGTTTCATGATGATAATGCCACATTCTTACAAGAGGTACTCTGTATGCCCTCTGTATGCTACATCACTTTTGTTGAGAATTTTAGCATTATAAAATTTATTTTAAAATAAGCTTTACTTTATTAGATTTTTCTAAATGTCTAGATAACATGGGTTTATCAAAATAAGAATGAGGGACTACTTGTGGTAACAACTCGTCTTTATATCAATTTAGCGTTGGATATGAATATGCCGAAAGTAAATAAATGAAGGAATTGTCCTTGCAGGAAGGACGTATTTCTGAAGATTGCACGCAATAATCGATCTAAGTTTTCTTTCTTCTTTTTTTCAAATAAATATCTACATAAAGGTTCCTCAAAAACTGTGATGTCATGCATCTAGGTTTTCACACAGAAGCTCTATGAATTCCGCATGCGCAGAAAGTTTTTTTTTTTTTTTTTTCGAACAGCGAAACTTCCGCGCATCATGCATGCGCTGTTTCAAAGTAGCATATCCGTCAAGCCCTTGACGCCAAGCTTGAGTGACGTCAGGAACATGACATCACACGGCCTTGGCAATTTCTGTAGACAAGGCCGTGCGGAAATGCCAGCCTTCAAGCTTCCACTTGCCGGAGAAAATCTGATTTGTGCGAACGGTTGCACTTTCTTTGCAAGTGAAAATAAAAAAAAAAAATATTTTGTTTATTTTATTCATTAACTAAAGTATCTTTGTCCACCAGAGCGTGCATTCTGGCGGAGCTTTTTTATTTTGTATTTTTGTACAGGGCGCCTCCTTAAAAAAACTATAAAGGCTTTTTTTTTTTACCGCGAAAATAAACAATGTATTGCCGAACACTTATTCTCTGCCCAAAGCGTAGCATGAAAGCGGTGCAAACCACATGCCAAAGTTTCAAAACCAACCATTACCTTATTTAAAATTTTCATGTGCTTTTCTGAAAATTCTTATTGGAAGTTGGCAGGCTGCCAACGTTTTCTTGAAATACATGCAGTTGAGTGGCCCCAATTACCGAGAATCCGGCACCATTTTAGCCTTCAAATTAAAAAGAAATCATTTATAACTTTTGAATAAGATAACAGCAAGTCCTGAAGCTTTGGCCACCTGGTTCGGATTGCCAGCGCTACATTTAGTCGGAAAATGCGCGTTCGGCGACGCATAATTTTTTTTTCTTTTGTATTTGGGGGGCGCTTTTAGTTTCAAATTTCCCAAAAAGTACTTAGTTAGAGCATTACGTTTACCACACCTTGAAGAGGGCGCTGATGCTCGCTCACGAGATCAATTACTGCACCGTGTTCGGTCTCAATAGAATGACGTTTCGGGCCCATGGAGGTAGGATGAATGTCCCTCATAAAATACAAACAAAAAAATTATGTACCTTCTGTCATAAAACGCTTCCTGACCTAGGAAAATTAGATACAAATATGCGTCAATTTGATTTTATTGTCGGGGCAATGAACAGATACCAAATTCTTTATTAATTGATACGGACGACTCGATGTGTGGCTTCGCTTGTCAAACGAAATATCGAGCAGATTAAATGGCAGTCAAATATAAAGATAAGATCATCCTTAATCTATCTTCCTAACGATAGATTACGAAGCTGGAGAGCGTGTCGGTAAAGGTAGTCAAAACTAAATCATTTAAACCCACGCACCTAGAAAAAAGGTCGCCGAATTTACTTTCCCGCTGAACACAGAGGCGGCCAATCGCGGCTTCAAATAGAATGATCCTAGCCAATCCCAGCGAACAATAGAATGATTCCAGCCAATCATGGCGAACAACAGAAGAATCCCAGCTAATGGCGCTGCAAATATTATAATTAGACAAAAAAAAATGCGATGTCCGCAAAAACGAAGATTGAGTCAAACGTCACGCTCATTGTCTCTACGCGTATCGCACCCTTCAGGGCTAATCGTGAGTTTCGTAATTTGCTGGTATCCTTCTGCTGTTCGCCGTGATGGCTGGAACCGTTCTATTGTTCACCGCGATTGGCTAGTATTCTTCTATCGTTCACAGTGATTGGCTGAAATCCTCTTATAGTTCACCGTGAAACGGCTGAAATTCTATTGTTCACCGGCATTGGCTGGAATCCTTTGATTGTTCACCGCGATTGGCTAAGATCCTTCAATCGTTCACCGTGATTGACTGGAATCTTATTGTTCACCGCGATTGGCTGCAATCGTTCTATTGTTCACCGCGATTGGCTAGTATTCTTCGATCGTTCACAGTGATTGGCTGAAATCCTTCTATAGTTCACCGCGAAATGGCTGAAATTCTATAGTTCACCGGGATTGGCTGAAATCCTTCGATTGTTCACCGCGATTGGCTAAGATCCTTCAATCGATCACCGTGATTGACTGGAATCCTATATATTGTTCACCGCGATTGGCTGCAATCGTTCTATTGTTCACCACGATTGGCTAGGATCCTTCCATCACCCACCGCGATTGGTTGGGATCTTTCTATCATTCAACATGATTGGCTTGGATCTTTCTATCATGTCATGAGACCATCATGAGACTGTGGTGCAGAAAAGGAAAAACTTTTAGTCGAGGCGTTAACTTCTGTGTCTGTTCCTTTGACTACAAGATTTTTGTTTTCCTCCTTCTCGACACCAGTCTCAGGTGTTAAAAGACATGATTAGCTACCACCAGCTCGGCTGCACACTACTTAGAGTCTTTTCACCCTTCTACCGTTAATCGTGACTGGCTGGGATCCTTCTATTGTTCAACAACGTCTCTGTGTTGTGCGGATCGGTGAACTAACATATATGAATTTTCGGTATTCGTGCGCAAAATCAAAAGTCAGAAATTGCATGTAAAAGCTCGCTCCATTGTACGGAAATGCATATACGCCCCGTCACGTCGATATGCATTTTGAAAAGGAAAGACGTCGAAACGTGTGACAATGGAGAAACACCCGAGAACAATGGGCTTTCTCCCGCTCGAGTCGAGTGACGTCACTGCTTTACATATATAGAAGCAGCAGCTTTTATATATGTAAAGAATTATACCTATACATGCCTTGCACGTGACGTCATATGGCACCGTACCAGCCGCCATTTCTCCGTACCAGGTTCCTGTACGGAGCCTTCTGCGGCATACATTTGGCACCATCGAATCTGCTCTTATCGGCAAGCCTTGACCAGAAAAACAAATTCGATGGTGTCAAATGTGGGCTGCAGAATTTACGGCACAGGAGAACGGTACGGAGCAATGGCGGCTGATGTGACGTCAATGCAAGCCATGTATAGATTTAACTTTAGCAAAGAATCTCGTCAAAGTTTTAATGCAACCCATTAGCGTATACCACAGTGATCACAAAGCAGTCATCACTACCATTTAAAAATGATGTATATACCCTGTAAATAAACATTTGGTGAAGTGCTTTACTGTGTATCTTGGTGAAGAATTTGTGGTGGTGCTCTAAAACTTCGCTGGGCAACCACTTTACATGCTCGAAGCATGCATATATGTGAAGCAAACATTCTTCGAACATATATAGAGCCGAGTACGCAGCCTCAGCGGTCACCGTTACCGTTGTTCAACGTTGCAAAACTCACCGAACGTTGCAGGACGGGCCCTCTCGGTGCACTCACGTAAGGAAGAAGGAGAGAAAAAAAAAAAGAAAAAAAAGCGATGCGCGGCGTAACGTACGAGCGATGAAGTCAAGGACAAACGAGAGCTTCTTTTTCCCGCTTCGTCACTTTCATCGGCTTTCGGAATCAGTCCCAAGATTTCATCTCCGATGACACAACAAGCGACAGAAACACAAGGCGGTATACATAGACCCCGAGCGTCCGCCTCCCTCCGCCGCTCAAGTCGCGTCCCGACTGCCGTTAGGGTAGGAGAGGAGACTGCAGATGGGGCCCCCTTTCCACGTCTCGAGCCCGCCGCTGATGAAGTGCGGAAAGAGCAAAGCGTCGCGTTCACACACTTGCAACCGAGTAGGACGGAGAGAGACTAGACCGCTTTTTAAGCCCCGGTTGGTGGCACACGCGCAAGGCACGCCGAGCATGCGCATGAACTAACTTCGGCACCGCCCCCCCCCCCCCCCCTTTTCCCCCCACAAGCAGAAACATGGCAGTGTCCTGCTTGTAATCATGTTTGCAATGCCATTAAAGGCCGCTGTACAAACGGGACGTTCTGCAGGGAAGAACCTTCTCTCCCGAAGCTGGAGACGGGGAGGGAAAGGGCCTGCGTTGGGTGGAAAGGGCGTCTAGAGAATAGGATTAGCCTCGGGGCGAGCCATCCTCTCCAGAGGGAGTGGGGACGGAACAAAGCTGCCGTGGGTAGGGAGCCTTCATGTGCGCTTTGCTGGGGGTTCCGGCTACCAGGTGGAAGATAAGCTTGTCAAACGGCGACCTCGGATGCGAGGACGGGCACGTCAGAGAATTTGAAAATAGCTGCTTGATTAGCCGGAGGACCCAGTGCGGTCTACTGGCTCTAGAAGGTGACTCAGATGAAGAAACTCGTTTTGCTCCAAAACTCTAAAAGCATTCTGGAACGTGAACTCTTGACACAAATAAAAATAACACATGCATGAAAAACTTCGAAGGCACCTAAGCTTTCTCCTATGATGTGAGAATGCGTGAGCATTACAGGCAGAGTTATGTTGGCGCAACTTACAATAAAGAAAGAAAAAAAAAAAGTTATGTTGGCGCAACTAGGCGCCACGAATAGCGCGCTAGTTTCACGATCAAGAGGGCCTAGCTTCGAAACCGGGCAGGGGATGGTTTTTTTCTCGTGTTCTTTTTTTATTTCGCTTATTTTTTTTTTTTGTTGGGTCACGTGACAGTAAAAATCACATGAACAGAAATTTTTTTGGCCACGTCACCAGAGATTTTTTTTTCTTATTTCTCCTATTCCTATTTTATTTCGCTTATTTTTTTTTGTTGGGTCACGTGACAGTAAAAATCACATGAACAGAAATTTTTTTGGCCACGTCACCAGAGATTTTTTTTTCTTATTTCTCCTATTCTTCTGTCTTTTTTTCCCTTTTTTTCGGTTTACGCTCCCTTTGGCAAAACTCTTGTCAGCCAAATAATTTTATTTATGGAAGGGGATTCTGCCGTACGTATCTTATGTTACTATTACCAACCCTGGCTTGCAATACGCATAGAGAATTTCGTCCGGCAACCAGTTTGGGAATGACGAGGCCAAATTTGTGTTATAGTTTTTTTGATGTATAAGCATAATTTCGGCCTCGTTATCCGTCGGTCTCTAAGATTAGCTCGTCAAGTATCTTTTCGGAAAGAGTAGACGACTGGCATTTTTACAGTGCACGTGTGTCGACCAGAGTGAACATTGCTGAAGCGCCTCCAGTGGGATTTTGGCCGTAAATAACTGGAGGCCCCGGGCAAACTCACCCTATGTAGAAAAGTATCTACCTTTCTGGTTTCATAGAGAGCTATCAAAGGGACGAATCCCAGCCGAGTCAAACTACCGGCTTGCAAACGTAATCGTGTTGGCAATAACTCTAAGGAGTTTGTATGACTCTCTCTGGCGGTGTGCAGAGGGTAAAGGTACGGAGGTAATATATGCTTTCGCCTAGTCACCTCGCAAACGGTTGGGTATTGGCTACAGAGATCCATTTCGCTTTGTTTTATCACCGGGATTAAAGCTTGATTTCTGTGTTCCTAATTTCACAGACAGAACGAAATCGCTTTTCTCGTGTGGCGTCACGGCGGTGAGACAGAAATCAATCAGTGTACCGGAATTCGACGCTTGTGCTCGTTCTATAGCGCTTCTAAAAACCGTGCGATCACGGCTGTGCAACGTCAACAATGCATAGACCGCAGTTACTTGTAAACGTATTGCATCGTGAAGGAACGACTATGACTGGGTAAGCAGGAATAGGGAGAATGGGTGCGTGTGATTTGTAGAAGTTCGAATCAACAAATCAGGCTTCAACGAATGCGATAGTATTGCATTGACTCAACCAGCTATATGAGTTTTCAGACGGTATATACCTTCCAAGTATGCGATTCGTGTTCTGCCAGTGGTATTTCAGCTAAATTAAAAAGCAAAATCCACGTTGAAAAAAAAAAAAAAAAAAAGTTTACGGTGACTCGAGCCGCTTCCGCGCAGAATCATGTTTCACGTAAGCGTAATCTTGGGGTCGATGCACGACGAGAGGTCTTCAATCATAAAAATAGTTTGATAACGATTATTGGCAACGCTAAAAATTTGAAAGTCAAGCAGTGAAGACAACGGTGTTCTTATAAATATTATATACATTTTATTTTACACTGTTTGAATACGCTGCCGTCGTTATGTTCTTGAATTATTGGCTAGCTTGTGGCGGACAGGGAAGTCTTGCAGGACCATATGATAGGACCTACACTAAACCTGCCGTCCTGCGAAAAATGTTAGTCCAGTACATACAAGCTTGTTCAAGGCGGACGGAGCGTTGCGCATCCGGCAAAGGGCATTCGGTCGCTGCCCGCGGCGTTTTTCTTTTTTTTTTTTTTTTTTTTCGAGCAGCGAAATAATTTTTGGTCAAGCAGCAGGCCCCCTCTTCGGCGGGTTAGGCCGGATTAACGGAGGCGTCTCCTAATCCATTCTCCGTGTTGTTCCCTCGGGGAAGGGCGGTAAACAGGGGGGGGCGGGCGGGCGGTGAGGGAAGGAAAGGAGGGCAGGGGAGGAGGAAACGCAGAAAAAGTGGAAAGCGCGAACTGTACGGCGGCCTTTAAGCGTCTTTTTCGAGGCGCTGACTCTGTGCGAGGCAGAGACGCATCATGTCGTTCTTTCTTATTGTTGGAGTGGCCACCAGACTCCTGAAAAGACGTTCCTGCATAGAGACGTCAGCACAAAACGTAAAAGTTGGCCACGGATGCGTCCACCGATTTCTATTAGCTGCAATATTTGGGACGCCAACTGGTGTGGCTGCACAGATGTTAAAGGGATACTACAACGAAATTTCGGAGCTCATTTTTTTGGTCTATATGTGTTCAAAGGAGCAGTATCACATCGAACATAACAATATCTTGTTAAAAAAGTCTGGAAAGGGGATTTTAAAATGAATTAAACGATTAGCAAAGAGCACCTGGTGGATGTCGCTAACGCCTCGTTTGGAATGCTCGTCTAGGAACATTGACAGCAGAGATGGCAGTAATGACATTACTCTAATGGAATTACAGTAAATAAATTACTTTTTGGAGTAATGAGTAATGTAAAGAATTACTTTTCTGGGCTAGTAATTTAGTAATGTAATGAATTACTTTCAAGCAGTAATTTCGAGAAAATTAATCATTACTTTTGAAATTACTTTTGTCCTAAATTAGAAAATTCGTTTGCAAGCTTTAAGAAAGAAGAGAAAAAATATTTTGCATGGTGAAATATCGTGAAAGTGCATCAGAGGAAATAATCGACGGCCACCTGAGCGCGAAGCCTTGTACGAAGAGCTGGACAGACGTAATAAGGAGGACTGGGAAGGGCGAAGGAGAAAAGCTTGCGTGTAGACATCGCTGGAAGGCAACGGCTTACGAACTCCAGGCACGACAGATTCACGGCGTCGCATCATCACGACGATACTATGCTTCGTTCTTCCCTAAGTTGACAGTGCTGTGGGAGCTGCAAGCGAACCAGAACCAATCGAACACCTTCGTTTAATCACGTGTTCCGTCCCTTTCTCTGCGCCTGGGTATGAACGAGAGCGTGGTTACGTGGCGAACGATAGATGTGTGACTGTTCCAACAAACACGTAGCTCTCACCGTTCATCCCTAAGCTGACACTGCGTCAGCTTAGGGATGAACGGCTCATTGGCTACAAGGCGACGGGCACATCACCAGTGAGTTAGACATAATTTAAAACCTGAGAGGACAGGACAAACAGATCCCCAGCCTTGTAATTTCGTCAAGCAAGGTCAAACCGTAGGTTTCGACCATCGTGAACAATAAACGATCGGAATAAATAGTTAATTCCAAATGCCTTGTCAAAGCCCCAGAACGTTTTGTGCGTCCTCGAGCAAAGCAGGTGCCGCTCGCGGTGTGCCTCGCTTCCTTCCCTTGGGAAGTTTATTCGGGAATAAGCCTACAAGCAGACATCGCCCTCTGTTTGTTGGGAAAGTACAGAATTTAGGAAGCTCGCGCCATTCCTCAATTGGCGACGCTTTACTTAGCAATTATCCGGGCCCTTTGTCTGACAATGCACAAAAGCTTGGACTCTTAGGGTTATTCAGAAGAATGCTCCTTGAAAGGAATGACCCGGAAAAGGTCAATTATACTTGGCGACAACTTTTCTTCGCAATGCGGAAGGTCCAGCCACGCGTTCCCTCTCCCATTTTGAGTGCTGAATAAAGCTGTGCACTGACTCTCCTCCTCTCCACTGCATTGCCAAGAAAAGTTATCGCCGAGTATAGTGTTCTCGGGAGAATAGAATTAGATTGCGTCCCACGTGGAAGGGAAACGTTTCATGTGACGACTCCTAGTAAGAACGAGCTGCAATTGCCCGACATAACAAACTGACACGGACTACAACTTCTAAATCAGGAAGACGGAAACATATATCACTCTTTTAGTGGGAACCTTTACCGTTAAATGAAGAGCGAAACCGGTGAGTTTACTGTCTTTCTGAATCACATCTGAAGAAGCTATTCGTC